GACAGGAGGGGACAGGAGGGGACACCCCAGGACTCACCATCATGTGGAGGTCGCGGCAGCACTCGGCCAGGCCGAAGCCGTTCTCCTTCCCGCCCCAACTCTGGGGGAAAACAGCCCAAAATGAGCAACAACCCATCCAAAGTCATTAATGATCATTGAAATTAATCGAGAGATGAGGAAATAATTAATAATTAACCAAAGAGCTCTAAAAACATTGAGAATTCATCAAAAATCATAAAAAAATTTAAATTAATCAACACATGAGAGGAAAAAATTTAAAATTAATCAAAAGATGATTAAAAAGTTTTAGTTAATCAAAATATAATTAAACAGTTTTCAAATTAATCAAAATATAATTAAAAAGTTTAAAAATTAATCAAAAGATGATTAAAAAGTTTTCAAATTAATCAAAAGATGATTAAAAAGTTTTCAAATTAATCAAAAGATGATAAAAAATAAAAATGAATGAAAAAATGGTTAAAAAAGGTTAAAAACTAATCAAAAAATGATTAAAAGGTTTAAAAATTGATCAAAAAATCATAAAAAAATGAAAAAGAATCAAAAAATGATAAAGTTTAAAAACTAATCAAAAAATGATATCAAAATTTAAAAAATAATCAAGAACTGATAAAAAAATTTTGAATTATTCAAGAGACGACAAAAAAGTTAAAAATTAATCAAAGGATGATAAAAAAAAATCTAAAACTTAATCAAAAAGTGATTAAAAATTTAAAAATTTATCAAAACATCATTAAAAAATTAAAAATTAATCAAAAGATGAGAAAAAAGTTTAAAACTTAATCAAAAGACAATAAAAAATATAAAAATTTATCAAAAAATGATTAAAAAATAAAAAATTTATCAAAAAATGACAAAAAAGTTTTAAAATTAATCAAAAGATGCTAAAAAAAATCTAAAAATTAATCAAAAAATGATTAAAAAATTTAAAAACTAACCAAAAAATGATTAAAAAAATCAAAAATTAATCAAAAAATAATAAAAAAGTTTTAAAATTAATCAAAAGATGATAAAAAACCTAAGAATTAATCAAAAAATGATTAAAAAATCTAAAAATTAATTTAAAAATGATTAAAAATTTTAAAAATTAATCAAGACAATTAAAAAATTAATCAAAAGATGATTAAAAATTTAAAAATTAATCCAAAAGTGATTAAAAAATTAAAAAATTTATCAACAAATGACAAAAAAGTTTAAAAATTAATCAAAAGATGCTAAAAAAAATCTAAAAATTAATCAAAAAATGATTAAAAAATTTAAAAACTAACCAAAACATGATTAAAAAACCAAAAATTAATCAAAATATGATTAAAAAGTTTAAAAATTAATCAAAAAATGATAAAAAATCTAAAAATTAATTTTAAAATTATTTTAAAAACCTAAAAATTAATCAAGAGATAATAAAAAATTAAAAGTAATCAAAAATTATTAAAAAATTTAAAATTAATCAAAAAACAATAGAAAAAATCTAAAAATTAATCAAAACACGATTAAAAAGTTTCAAAATTATTCAAAAGATAATAAAAAAATCTAAAAATTAATCAAAAGACAATAAAAAAATCTAAAAATTAATCAAAAAGTGATTACAAAATTTAAAAATTTATCAAAAAATGATAAAAAAGTTTAAAAATTAAACCAAAAATGATAAAAAAATCTAAAAACTAAGCCAAAAAATGATCAAAAAAATTAGAAACTAAGCCAAAAAATGATCAAAAAAATTACAAACTAAGCCAAAAATGATCAAAAAAATTAAAAACTAAGGAAAAAATGATCAAAAAAATTAAAAACTAAGCAAAAAATGATCAAAAAAATTAAAAACTAAGCAAAAAATGATCAAAAAAATTAAAAACTAAGCAGAAAATTTTAAAACTAAGCCAAAAATGATCAAAAAAAATTACAAAGTAAGCCCAAACTGCTCAAAACCCATGGAATGACCCCAAAATGAAGGGAGGAGGCAGGTGATAGTCACCTCGGCCAGGTGCTGGAGGCGGGAGAGGAGGGGGCTGCGCTTCTCGGAGCCCAGGCGCGTGATGTAGTTGGAGCGCTTGCTGAAGACGTAGAGCAGGTTGAGCACGGCCAGCACCACCTGCATGTCCGAGGAGGCCAGCAGCGCCGTCAGGTGCTGGGGAGAGAGAGATGGAAACGGGCAGGAAAGGTCACAAATTCAGCAAAACAACAGGAAAAACTCAGCAACACAGGAGACAAATTTAAAATTCAGCAAAGGAGGAGACAAACATTTGAAATTCAGCAAAAGAACCTTAAAAATTTATCAAAAGAGGAGACAAGCATTTAAAATTTATCAAAAGAACCCTAAAAAATTATCAAAAGAGGAGACAAACATTTAAAATTTATCAAAAGAACCTTAAAAAAATTCATCAAGAGGAGACAAACATTTAAAATTCATCAAAAGAACCTTAAAAATTTATCAAAAGAGGAGACAAACGTTTAAAATTCATCAAGAAAGGAGACAAACATATAAAATTTATCAAAAGAACCTTAAAAAATTCATCAAGAGAGAAGATAAACATTTAAAATTTATCTAAAGAGAAGATAAACATTTAAAATTTATCAAAGAACCTTAAAAAATTATCAAAAGAGGAGACAAACATTTAAAATTTATCAAAAGAACCTTAAAAAATTCATCAAGAGAGAAGACAAACATTTAAAATTTATCTAAAGATGGCACAAATATTTAAAAAATAATCAAAAGATAATTAAAAACTTACTTAAAAAAATTATCAAAAGACGAAATAAATTTAAAATTTATCAAAAGAGGAAACAAACATTTAAAATTCATCAAAAGAACCTTAAAAAAATCATCAAGAGAGGAGACAAACATTTAAAATTTATCAAAAGAGGAGACAAACATTTAAAATTCAGCAAAAGAGGAGACAAATATTTAAAATTCAGCAAAAGAACCTTAAAAATTTCATCAAAAGATGATACAAACATTTAAAATTCAGCAAAAGAACTTTAAAAATTTATCAAAATATGATACAAACATTTAAAATTCAGCAAAAAGAGACAAAAATTTAAAATTCAGCAAAAGATGAGACAAACATTTAAAAATTCAGCAAAAGGCCAGTAAAAAATTATCAAAAGACGATTAAAAAATTTAAAAATTAATCAAAAGAATAAAAAAAAATAAAAATTAACCAAAAGATGATTAAAGAATTTAGAAATTAATCCAAAGATGAGACAAAGATTTAAAAATTCATCAAAAGACAATTAAAAAATTTAAAAATTAATCAAAATATTATTAAAAAAATTAATTAAAATATGAAAAGAAATTTAGAAATTAATCAAGGTGATACAGATTCAAAAATTAATCAAAAAACAATTAAAAAAATTAAAAATTAATGAAAAGACAATAAAAGAATTTAGAAATTAATCAAAAGACAACAAAAAAATTTAGAAATTAACCAAAAGACAGTAAAAAAATTAAAATTTAATCAAAAGATGATAAAAAAATTAAAAAATTAATCAAAAGATGAGACAAAGATTTAAAAATTAATCAAAAGATAATAAAAAAGTTTAAAAAATAATCAAAAGATGATTAAAAAATTTTAAAATTAATCAAAAGATGATAAAAAAGTTTAAAAAATAATCAAAAAATGATTAAATAATTTAAAAATTAATCAAAAAATGATTAAATAATTTAAAAATTAATCAAAAAATGATACAAAAATTTAAAAATTCATCAAAAGACGATTAAAAAGTTTAAAAATTAATTAAAAGATGATAAAAAAATTTAAAAATTAATTTTAAAATATTTTTAAAATTAAAAATTAATCAAAAGACAATTAAAAAAATCTAAAAATTAATCAAGAGATGATACAAAAATTCCAAAATTAATCCAAAATTAATTAAAAAAATTAAAAATTAATCAAAAGATGATAAAACCTCTCGAAATGACCCAAATTTGGGAGGAGGTGGAGGGTGTGGTACCTCGATGGAGCTGTAGAGGTGGCGGGAGAAGCTGTACTCG